TGTCTGTCTCAACTATTGGATCACTACGACAAGGTCCTAAATGCACTAGAAGATAAAAAGAATGCAGATGTAATATATACAGACTTTGCAAAAGCCTTCAACAAGTGTGACCATGGCATAATAGCGCACAAAATGCGTGCTAAAGGAATAACAGGAAAAGTCGGTCGATGGATCTATAATTTCCTCACTAACAGAACACAGAGTAGTCGTCAACAGAGTAAAGTCCGAGGCAGCTACGGTGAAAAGCTCTGTTCCACAAGGCACAGTACTCGCTCCCATCTTGTTCCTCATCCTCATATCCGACATAGACAAGGATGTCAGCCACAGCACCGTGTCTTCCTTTGCAGATGGCACCCGAATCTGCATGACAGTGTCTTCCATTGCAGACACTGCAAGGCTCCAGGCGGACATCAACCAAATCTTTCAGTGGGTTGCAGAAAACAATATGAAGTTCAACGATGAGAAATTTCAATTACTCAGATATGGTAAACACGAGGAAATTAAATCTTCATCAGAGTACAAAACAAATTCTGGCCACAAAATAGAGCGAAACACCAACGTCAAAGACCTGGGAGTGATCATGTCGGAGGATCTCACCTTCAAGGACCATAACATTGTATCAATCGCATCTGCTAGAAAAATGACAGGATGGATAATGAGAACCTTCAAAACTAGGGAGGCCAAGCCCATGATGACACTCTTCAGGTCACTTGTTCTATCTAGGCTGGAATATTGCTGCACACTAACAGCACCTTTCAAGGCAGGTGAAATTGCTGACCTAGAAAATGTACAGAGAACCTTCACGGCACGCATAACGGAGATAAAACACCTCAATTACTGGGAGCGCTTGAGGTTCCTAAACCTGTATTCCCTGGAACGCAGGCGGGAGAGATACACGTTAAGAGACCATACAATAAGTGTCAGGGGCCCGAGACTGTTCAACTGCCTCCCAGCATACATAAGGGGGATTACCAACAGACCCCTGGCAGTCTTCAAGCTGGCACTGGACAAGCACCTAAAATTGGTTCCTGACCAGCCGGGCTGTGGCTCATACGTTGGTTTGCGTGCAGCCAGCAGCAACAGCCTGGTTGATCAGGCTCTGATCCACCAGGAGGCCTGGTCACAGACCAAGCCGCGGGGGTGTTGACCCCCGGATCTCTCTCCAGGTAAACTCCAGGTAAACACATGACTTACGGAGGAAGAATTCTGTTCCACTTCCCCATGGAGATAACAGGAAATAAACAAGAACAAGAACTAGTAAGAAAATTGAAGAAAACCCAGAGGATTGTGTGTGTATATATATATATATATATATATATATATATATATATATATATATATTATATATATATATATATATATATATATATATATATATATATAATATAAATATATATATATATATATATATAATATAATATAATATATATATATATATATATATATATATATATATATATATATATATATATATATATATATATATATATATTATATATATATATATGCATATGCTTGTACATGTATGTGTAGTGTGACCTAAGTGTAAGAAGTAGCTAGATGTACTTGAAATCTTGCATGTTTCTGAGACAGAAAAAAAGACACCAGCAATCCTACCATCATGTAAAACAATTACAGGTTTCCGTTTTACACTCACTTGGCAGGACGGTAGTACCTCCCGGGGTGGTTGCTGTCTACCAACCTACTGCCTATGATTTTATATATACTCTGATAATTATTCTTATGTGTACCTATACCTAAATAAACTTACACACTGTGCTGGTATGCAGATACACATTAAAATCACTGAGAGTGTCTCGCCAGTCTTGAAGACGCCACATTAACAAGAATGATAATAATAATACTAATTTTCTTTCAACAAACTGGCCATATCCCACCTAGGCAGGGTGGCTCAAAATGAAAAATGAAAGTTTCTACTTTTAAATTTAGTAACATATACAGGAGAAAGAGTTACAAGCCCCTTACTCCCGGCATTTTAGTTGCCTCTTAATACACGCATGGCTTACAGAGGAAGATTTCTGTTCTACTTCCCCATGAAGTTAAGTGGAAATAAATAACAACTAGTAAGAAAATAGAAGGAAACCCAGAGGGGTGTGTGCATATACAGTGGAACCTCAGTTTTCATATGCCCTAGTTTGTATGTAAAACTATAGTTATTCTCTATATATGTATTTTTTGTTAATATTTTTGGGTGTCTGGAACAGATTAATTTGATTTACAATATTTCTTATGGGAAATATTAACAAAAAATACATCTTATAGATAATAACTATAGTTTTACATTCAAACTAGGGTATACGAAAACCGAGGTTCCACTGTATATGCTTGTATATGTATGTGTAGTGTGACCTTAATGTAAGTAGAAGTAGCAAGACATACCTGAATCCTTGTATGTTTGAGACAAAAAAAAAGACATCAGCAATCCTACCATCATATAAAACATTTACAGGTTTCCATTTTACACTCACTAGGCAGGATGGTGGTACCTCCCTGTGCGGTTGCTGTCTACCAATCTACTACCTAGGAATAATACTAATGCATAATAATTATTGCTCTGGGACGCATTAAATGTATATTATGTTAATATAGACATTTTCATTAATCTGTGATATTTTTTTCAAAATTTTATGAAAAACTTGCTATATAACAAATAACATGATACATACACCCAGAGTAGGATAAATTTGACATAAATACGAGATGTGGCAGCCAAGCGGCTTGTTGGAGTGACGGCAACAATTATGTTTTCTCTAGTCCATCACCAGAGAATGTGTGTACACTATAGTATTACTGGGGAGTAACTGTAGAAAATTATTCCTTTCATATGCCTTAACTCAGCTGTTTATTTATTTTAGTGCACTAACATGAAGACAACTTGTATGCAATGTAAGTACAGTATTTGTATTGCAGGGTAAATGCTTCAGCAATTCATGCAAATGTTCATGTATGAACCAAAAGTAGACATATTAATATGCATTTTGTCTGACCGAGTGACTCCCCTTACGTGTTCGTCTGTTTGTTTACATTCTCGGCATCTCTTTCCTCTCTCGTTTACAATGGCATCTAAGGGTAGTTGTTAGAAATGATTAAACTCAGTGAACTAGGTATGTCAATAATAACAGTAATAATAATAATAACTCTGGGGTGCTTTAAATTTAAGTCATATATTTCGTGTAGGTGTGGTAGCTACCACACCTGACTTTTCACAATAAATGCTACTCACCTCTCACCCTACATTAAGACTTCAAATACTTTAAGGGAAGTAATGAGTGTACTGTGTGTATTTTACTTTTTATTATTTTTTAATGCCTAGTTCTGCTGTTAACTTAATATATGTTAGTGTAAACTTGTTATCTGGCATTTATATGCATTTAAGAGTGGAAAAAAGGGTGTTGTGCTCTACGGTGATTTCTGCTTTACGGCAGTAGCCTGGAACCTAACTCTCCGTAAAAGTGGGGCTCTACTGTATTTTGCTGTCAGTGGTGCCACTGCACGATACTGAAAACATGTTGATCCTTTTATATCAATAGTGTCATTCTAGGATACTGCTGGCATGTTGTATCCTGCTGCATCAGCATTAGCAAGTCGCATTAGCCAACCTGCTGTAAAGCAGTTTTATACCTCTGAACCTCAGACTTTTTTTTTTTTTTTTTTTTTTTTTTTTATCACACTGGCCGATTCCCACCAAGGCAGGGTGGCCCGAAAAAGAAAAACTTTCACCATCATTCACTCCATCACTGTCTTGCCAGAAGGGTGCTTTACACTACAGTTTTTAAACTCCAACATTAACACCCCTCCTTCAGAGTGCAGGCACTGTACTTCCCATCTCCAGGACTCAAGTCCGGCCTGCCGGTTTCCCTGAATCCCTTCATAAATGTTACTTTGCTCACACTCCAACAGCACGTCAAGTATTAAAAACCATTTGTTTCCATTCACTCCTATCAAACACGCTCATGCATGCCTGCTGGAAGTCCAAGCCCCTCGCACACAAAACCTCCTTTACCCCCTCCCTCCAACCTTTCCTAGGCCGACCCCTGCCCTGCCTTCCTTCCACTACAGACTGATACACTCTTGAAGTCATTCTGTTTCGCTCCATTCTCTCTACATGTCCGAACCACCTCAACAACCCTTCCTCAGCCCTCTGGACAACAGTTTTGGTAATCCCGCACCTCCTCCTAACTTCCAAACTACGAATTCTCTGCATTATATTCACACCACACATTGCCCTCAGACATGACATCTCCACTGCCTCCAGCCTTCTCCTCGCTGCAACATTCATCACCCACGCTTCACACCCATATAAGAGCGTTGGTAAAACTATACTCTCATACATTCCCCTTTGCCTCCAAGGACAAAGTTCTTTGTCTCCACAGACTCCTAAGTGCACCACTCACTCTTTTTCCCTCATCAATTCTATGATTCACCTCATCTTTCATAGACCCATCCGCTGACACGTCCACTCCCAAATATCTGAATACATTCACCTCCTCCATACTCTCTCCCTCCAATCTGATATCCAATCTTTCATCACCTAATCTTTTTGTTATCCTCATAACCTTACTCTTTCCTGTATTCACCTTTAATTTTCTTCTTTTGCACACCCTACCAAATTCATCCACCAATCTCTGCAACTTCTCTTCAGAATCTCCCAAGAGCACAGTGTCATCAGCAAAGAGCAGCTGTGACAACTCCCACTTTGTGTGTGATTCTTTATCTTTTAACTCCACGCCTCTTGCCAAGACCCTCGCATTTACTTCTCTTACAACCCCATCTATAAATATATTAAACAACCACGTGTGTATATATATGCTTATATATGTATGTGTAGTGTGACCTGAGTATAAGTAGAAGTAGCAAGACGTACCTGAAATCTTGCAAACTAAAATTTATTGTCCTTTTTTTTTTTTTTTTTTTTTTTTTTTTTTTTTTTTTTTTTTAAATAACTTCTACCATTGTACTTTATTACTGTTTTCTTTCAGAATCTGAAAAGAAGACAAATGAAGCTAGATGAGGTAGAATATGAAGCTCCAGAAGTTGATGAGTATGGAAACATTGTTCAGCGAACACTTCTTACAAAGTATGATGAAGAAATTGAAGGAGAAAAGAAACAAAGTTTCCGCTTGGGTGCAGGTGGTGGAGCGTATGCTTGTGATGAGGTACCAGAAGCTGTGAGGAGGATTGCAAAGTTGCGAAAATTGCAGAACTTGGAGACCCCTCAAGCCCAGTTAGCTTCTGAGTACTTTACTGAAAATGAAATGGTAAGCTTCAGAAAAGTTAAAAAGACTAAGAAAAAAAAGAAAAAGAAATTAACAGCAGATGACCTAGAGCCAGTTGAAGAGTCCTTAGTTCACCTTGGTTCAAGGAATGCTAGACAAGCAAGGTTGGAAACCCTGCAAATCAATAATGACGAGGTTAGCTTTGCTGCTGATGACCTAGGCAAACCCAGCTCGGATCGGACACAAACTCTTAGAGAGCTACTGGAAGAAGAGGAGGCAGAAAAAGTAAAAATGGAAGTAGATAATGATGAAGGCAATGAGAGCGAACAAGATGATATTGAACTCCAAGAAGCCTTGGCACGGTCACGGAGAGCTAAGATTGCACAGGCTGCACAGCCTAGCAGTGAGAAGATCTTAGATCTGCTAAAAGAAAAACCTTTGAAACAAGAAGAAACATTGGAACCTATGGAAGAGGATGCAGCTGTACTTATGATGACTCTCAACACTACTGATGAATTTTGCCGCACTTTAGGAGACCTTCCTACTTATGGTCTCTCTGGCAATCGTGCAGATGATGATCAAACAATGCTACAGCTACAGCAGCCTAAGGTACCATTAATAAACTTAAATTTACAGTTTCTCTATATTTTTAATTCTTTTTTAAACAGTATAAAATAATACAGATTCTCCTTCAGTTTTGATTTTGCTGAATGCAGTTAATTAATTAAAACTGCAGTAACATTTTTATTCTTAAAATTTAGCTTGACAAAATAATATACAGTAATCATAATACACATACAGCTTTCATGCACTCAAATGGCTCTGAAAACTATCTTGACTGAAGCCAGACGCATTTTCAGTTTGGGTAAATGTATGTGTACATTAATGCTGCTATTGTTTTTTTATTTTTTACTTCTTCCTTACCATAGGTACTCATAATTGTGGAAGCCATTTTGTAATATGTTGTACATTTTAGGTTATTCACTTTTTTTTTTATTTTCATATTTTAAGTAAAATATTTGCCCTCTGACAGGAAAAGGAAGCACAGGAGCCTCGGGGAGCATGGGAAGAAGTGGGGATTGACGACACTCGGGTGGAAATCAGTGATAACATGATTGTTCCCATTTTGGAAGAAGAACCTGATGCCAGCAAAGGAGTTGCTAATGCTCTTAAGCTAGCTCTTAAGAAGGGCTACCTAGAGAAAACAAATGTTACTAAGTCAGCAAATGCCGCCTTACAACATCTGAGAGCAGTGCACTATAGGTAAGAAACATGTTTTAAAAATCTGTCTATAACATACCTTTCTGTTTAAATACTTATTGGAAATCATAAATATACTCTTCAAAGAAAGATTTACCATTGCACTACTAATTAAGGAATATTGTTTTTGACAGTGTAATGGCAATTTTTCTACATTTTTTAAGATGTAATACACCCCAATGGTTCTTTAAGTTATGATGGGCTGGAGTTACAATTTGCTCTCATAAAGGAATTTAGTTTTGAGTTGCAATGTAAATTTGATGATTTATGATTTAATTATACCATCATTTGTGTGGTACAGTCAGTTTGCAGCCCATGAGATCAATGAGGGCTCTGGGTATCTACCTAAATTCTTCATTGTCATTTGTTGGAGAAATCAACCAATTGCTAAATCTTGTAGTCTTTCTATTCATAATCTTAAATAGATTTTTGCAGTTTGTTAGCAGGTTTGCCAAACCACTTACTAAGAAGACTTCAGTCTGTACTGAAACATGCAACTAGACTAGTAATCATGCTCCAAACTGGGGTTTCCACTAGTATGAACTGTATTGATTTTAAACTCTGTTTATTAACATTGAAAGCTATTAAGTTTAGTGAACCAAAGTATCTTGCTAAGATCCTTATACCTTTTACATTGGGCTTGGATCTGTTTCTGTAAATTACCACAGACCCTTTTAGACTGATTGAGCCTTGTGCTGTTGGAGAGAAATCATTAACAAAAAAAGTCTTTTCTTATGTAGCTCCTAGATTGTTCAACAGGTTGCCAGTGTGTGTTAAGAGTCAGGATTCTGTGTATGACTTCAAGTCTCAATTGAAAGTACATCTCTTATCTAGAGCCTGTGATCCTGATGATCATGCTGTCACTCTTGAATATAAACTTTAATATTTCTCTTTTATTGAAATTGCTTTTATGACTCAGTGTGTGAGCACTTGTGAATTTCTTGAAAGAACAGGCACCTAAGAATAACAAAACTCGTAATTATTATTATTTCTTTCTTTCTTTCAACGTACCAGCCATATCCCACCGAGGTGGGGTGGCCCAAAAGGAAAAACGAGTTTCTCCTTTCAAATTTAGTAATATATACAGGAGAAGGGGTTACTAGCCCCTTGCACCTGGCATTTTAATCGCCTCTTACAACACGCATGGCTTACGGAGGAAGAATTCTGTTCCACTTCCCCATGGAGATAAGAGGAAATAAACAAGAACAAGAACTAGAAAGAAAATAGAAGAAAACCCAGATGGGTGTGTATATATATGATTGTACATGTATGTACTCACCTATTTGTGGTTGCAGGGGTCGAGTCTTAGCTCCAAGCCCCGCCTCTTCACCGGTTGCTACTGGGCCCCTCTCTCTCCCCGCTCCATGAGCTTTATCAAACCTTGTCTTAAAACTGTGTATGGTTCCTGCCGCCTCCACTACGTCATTTTCTAGGCTATTCCACTGCCTGACAACTCTACGACTGAAGAAATACTTCCTAATATCTCTGACTCATTTGTGTCTTCAACTTACAATTGTGGCCTCTTGTTTCTGTGTCCCCTCCCTGGAACATCCTGTCTTTGTCCACCTTGTCTATTCCACGCAGTGTTATATATGTCGTTATCATGTCTCCCCTGACCCTCCTGTCCTCCAGTGTCGTTAGGCCGATTTCCCTTAATCTTTCTTCATAGGACATTCCCCTTAGCTCTGGAACTAACCTTGTCGCAAACCTTTGTACTTTCTCTAGTTTCTTGACGTGACTAAGTGTAAGTAGAAGTAGCAAGATGTATCTGAAGTCTTGCATGTTTATGAGACAGAAAAAAGACACCAGCAATCCTACCATCATGTAAAACAATTACAGGCTTCCTTCCGTTTTACACTCGCTTGGCAGGACAGTAGTACCTCCCTGGGTGGTTGCTGTCTACCAACCTACTACCTGCATTATTATTATTATTATTATTATTATTATTATTATTATTTCTTTCAACACACCGGCCGTATCCCACCGAGGCAGGGTGGCCCAAAAGAAAAAACCAAAGTTTCTCCTTTCAAATTTAGTAATATATACAGGAGAAGGGGTTACTAGCCCCTTGCTCCCGGCATTTTAGTCGCCTCTTACAACACGCATGGCTTACGGAGGAAGAATTCTGTTCCACTTCCCCATGGAGATAAGAGGAAATAAACAAGAACAAGAACTAGAAAGAAAATCGAAGAAAACCCAGAGGGGTATGTATATATACGCTTGTACATGTATGTGTAGTGTGACCTGAGTGTAAGTAGAAGTAGCAAGACGTACCTGAAATTTTGCATGTTCATGAGACAGAAAAAAGGACACCAGCAATCCTACCATCATGTAAAACAATTACAGGCTTTCGTGTTACACTCACTTGGCAGGACGGTAGTACCTCCCTGGGCGGTTGCTGTCTACCAACCTACTACCTAGGATTATTATTATTATTATTATTATTATTATTATTTTCTTTTTTTCTTCTTTTTTTCTTTTTTTCTTCTTTTTTTCTTCTTTTTTTCTTCTTTTTTTCTTTTTTCTTTTTTTCTTTTTTTCTTTTTTCTTTTTTTCTTTTTTTCTTCTTTTTTTTCTTTTTTTCTTCTTTTTTTCTTCTTCTTTTCTTCTTCTTCAGAGGCAACCCTACTTGGTGGGAACAGGCCAGTGTTTGTTGTAACGGAAAATCTTATAATATATATCTCCTAATTTTCTTTCACCAACTTATGAGTTAATTATTTTTAGATACAATTCAGTATGTAATTTAATGTAAGAACCTCAAACATAAGTTTTAATTATTTCTTTATTTCTCCTCTCCTTCCCTTAGCATAGAGGACAAGGCTGTGGATGATGACCGTGGTCGAGGCCGGGGTGAAAGATACATGGGGCCAGTTACAGAATTTAAAGATAAAGATAGCTACAAACCTGATGTCAAGCTGGAATATGTGGATGATGAAGGTCGTAAATTAAATGCAAAGGAAGCATTCAGGTAGGTTTTGAAAGTGTTGTTTTTTCATTTTTTCCCAGAATGGGGATGGAAGAGATATTTTAATGGTATGTCAGGACAGAGTTTTGTTGTTTAAATTTAAGGACAGTGTTGTAACAGTACTGATGTTTATTTAATCATATATTAGAGGTATATTTGCTAGACATGTTGAATTGATAACAGATGAAGAATGAAAGGAAAATACATTGTCAGTGTAACACTAGAAGACTATTAAAAAGTATAGTAAAGGAAAATCTGAAATTTGTTATGTGAGGAGGATACTGAGCTAATAGTATGATGCAGTATACCTGCTGTCTCATACCACCGTGTATCATATCTAAAATTAATGCTTTCCTCATTTCCATCAGATCTTCACACTTATTTTATGCATGTTTTATAGAGGACTTGGTCCTTCCATGCTTACTGAGGAGCTTTCAAGGCATTTTCACTGTGGAATTTTGTATGCACTTTTTCATTTGCATTTACACAATATTGCACTATGTAGTGTTAACTTTATATAAAGGTTTACTGTATATATCATAAAGAAATGCTACTTTTGAAAGTTCTAGTGTGTGTACTCTCCTATTTGTAGTTGCAGGGATTGATTCTCAGATTCTTTTAACATGAAACTCTTCAGATTCACTCCCTTTTAGCCTCATGGACCCTAGGTCTAGGCATGCATGGAACATGCCTGGACCACTGCCTCACTGAGATCATTCTACTTCCCTACCACTTTGAGGCTGAAGAAAATCTTAACATTGCTGTGGCTCACCTGTGCCTTTAACTTCTAACAGTGTCCTGAGTTCCCATTTCTCGCCTCTCATACAGCGTATACTTATCTGCTTTATCATTTCCCCAGAGTATTTTGTTGTGTATCCCTGGCTCTTCTGTCTTCCAGTGTTGTTAAATTCAATTAAATTAATCTTTCCTTGTAGTTCCTGCCCTGTAGCTCAGGAACAAGCCTTGTTACTTCTGCACATTCTCCAGTTACTTAACGTGCTCTTTAAGGTGTGGCCTCCATGCTAATGCTGCATACTCCAAGATGGGTGTAACATATATTGTATAAAGGGCCCCTTAATGACTATTGGAAATTCCTGAGGGCTACTCTTATGACTCACGAAATCGTAATGACACGATTGCAAACAAACCATACCATGGGGCTAACGCAAAGGTCTGGAGTTTTGAGACTCTCTGACCGCGGGTTCAATCCCACCCGTGGTATGGTTTGGCTACTCTTAGATTTGCCAGATGAGCATTGGCTGATGTGAGCTTCTGACGATATATTGGGTACTGTGTTCACCCCATGGTCTTTCTCTCTGAGCAGTCTGCAGCCTCTGTCCCTCTAGTCTGTACCTCATTTCCAGTCCTCTTGTTCCTATCCCAGTCTTCATGATCTTGAAATTTACTGAGGTTGAATTCAAGCAATCACTTGCAATTTGACAACTCTTACAATTTGTCCAGATTCCTCTGGAATCTTTCCTAGTTATCTTCTCTTTTTATTCTCCTCATTGTGTATCATGAGAAAACAGGGATATATCTGAATCAGACCCACCTGGAATGTCATTCTCATAAACCAGAAACAGTACTGATCCTAACATCAATACTTGTGGAGCCTCGCTAGTTTCTCTTCCCCAGTCTGACATCACTTTCATGACAGTTACTCTTTGCTCCCTTCCCCTAAGATGTTCTTTGATCCATCAGAGTATGTTCCCTGTTATTTCACCATTCATTAATTATAGTAATGTATACAATTCCCTAAAAATTTTTATGCCAATTTTATTTTTCTAATAAACATATTATTTATGTCTCTTAAACAGAAAGCTTAGCTGTTTTAAACATTTTCAGATACCTTTCTCACAAGTTCCATGGAAAAGGCTCAGGTAAAAATAAGACAGAAAAAAGAATGAAGAAATGGAATGAGGAGTTGCTAATGAAACACATGAGCTCATCTGACACTCCACTTCAGACACTTGAGAGACAGAGAGAGAAACAGAAGCAACTTGGAGCAGCTTACCTTGTTCTCTCTGGAAGTAAGACTCAAGAATCAATGGATGTCAAGAAGTGAAATAATTGCATCTTTAACAGAATATCAGATATCTGGTCATTAGTTCTGATTTTTACATTAACGGTGTCATCCCTCGTTAAATATTTACATGGTACCTTGAACATTTGTATAGATTGTGTGGTGCGTTAGCGCTATGTAATTTTGAGTTGTGTGAGCTATTATATACATGGAGTACATGTATCTAACTTTAGAGTCTTCTTAAAATAAGGAATTTCTAGCCTTTTCATGCTGCAATATATTAGGGTAATAAATTTTTACATTCATAAGAATGTTATGTTTTTCAAAGGATGATTACCAGTGAAAATTTAAGTGGGTTGCTAAGTGTCCTGTGGTTGCCATTCCTGTATTGATGTAAACCTGCTAGCATATTAGGTGGTATTGATGTTAAAAAATAAACGATGCAAATGTGAAATTATGCATTATTTGATGTGCAAAATGAGATAAAGTTGTATACAGTTTAAGTTATATTTTTTAAATTATCCAGCCTTTTAATGAATATACCCTTCTGGTAAATTATCACATTATGCAGTATTCTAAATTTCACACCAAAATTATCTTATAAGCTTCATCTAATCTTGCTTAAAATGTACTATATAATGTTGTACATTACAACCTAACCTTTCTAAGGTTATTTTAGCTACAGTTTTTAACATACGTATAGTAAATAAAATATAATTTTGTGTTCAGATTGGTTTTCACAAAAATAGAAAAAGAATGCACAGTATACAAAAAATATATATCATAGAAAGGAATGGAAAAAAGGTAAGTAGTGTGTTGAGGCAAAATGTTGAGACTTTCAATGGAAAAGGACTAATAGATGTAAAGTATTTTTTTTTTATTTTTTAAGACTGGCCATATCCCACTGAAGCAGGGTGACCCAAAAAAAAAGGGGGGGGGAGTTTTTCTTCTTTTTACATAAAGTAATTTATACAGGAGAACGGGTTACTAGCCCCTTGATCCTGGCATTTTAGTCACTAAAGATGGTAATGTAGGAGAGTATATTGGTGCCAAGACTTTTGAATGAGGAAGGTGGAGCCTGTGGAATGTGTAGTGGTGAATATTTTGCAGAAAAAAAAAAGTGTAGAAATTAAAAGATGGTAATCGAGTGTGAAAAGTACAATTCATAGCAGAAGAGGGTTTTAGCATTCAGTTGAAGTTTGAGGAAGGTAACATCTATGAAGGGATTTAGGATAACCGGTTAGGCAGAATTGAGCTCTGGAGATTGGAAGCAAAGCACCTGCATTTCTGAGGATAGTAAGGAATGTGGTTCAAAGGGTCATTTAAATTATGATGCCATGTATTTCTGGCAAAACACCTATTGAATTAACCCTTTGACTGTCGCAACCCCCAATCTTGAGGTGTCTCCTGGTGTCGCAAAATTTCAAAAAAAAAAAAAAAATATTTTTTCTTATGAAATGATAGAGAATCTTTTCCCGATTGTAATGACACCAAAAAAAACAAAATTTGATGGAAAACTGACGGAATTATGCTCTCGCGAAGTTAGCGACCTCGGCGCTGTTTACAAATCGGCGATTTCGCCGACTTTGCGCCCTATTTTCGGCTAATTTCATTGTTCCAGTCGCCCAAACTCATAGCTATTTCTTTAGAACTCCATTTTTTCTATCAATTGAGTACAAGAAACTGCCCATTTACCGATTTCAACTGCCTAATAATGTGGTCAGAAATTTGCAATTTGGCCAATTTCACGAAAACTAACAAATATGACAATTTCAAAATAAGATCCAGAATGAACAATGCAGACATTCCTGGCTCTAAAATAACATTTTCTTTGCTCATCAGTCATGTCTCCAGGCCCCTCTGATATTACTCTTGCTTTCTATTTTGAATTTTTATTCAAACAAAAAATAGAAGACCTACTATTATGCAGACTACTGCAATACTGTAATAATTGTATAAATAACATCAACCCATTCATGACTGCATATTAGAATGGATAGTTGGACATTTATTGGACAATGGCATCATTTGTTTACTTTTGAACATTTGCAAAAATCAAACATTTCCCCTAATTTGAGCCCCATTTCTAGGTTCTTTTTATAGTAAAATCAATCAAAATCACCTCTATTTCTATAATATGTTTTCCATTCTATCAAATGGGACCAAGAAAACGAGAATACAACCATAAATACTATACGAAAATAGACCACAAAGTCGGCATTTTAATTAAAAAAAATGGTCGGAGTTTTTTTTTTCTCATTATGCACTGCGTGCTCCAGGATTTTTTTATATGGTGCACACTGACCACACGGACCCATTCTCTCACATGAGGGCCTACCAGCTTTCTCCTGCTTGATTTGAAGCCGCTAGAATTTTATTTTTTTATTATCACACCGGCCGATTCCCACCAAGGCAGGGTGGCCCGAAAAAGAAAAACTTTCACCATCATTCACTCCATCACTGTCTTGCCAGAAGGGTGCTTTACACTACAGTTTTTAAACTGCAACATTAACACCCCTCCTTCAGAGTGCAGGCACTGTACTTCCCATCTCCAGGACTCAAGTCCGGCCTGCCGGTTTCCCTGAATCCCTTCATAAATGTTACTTTGCTCACACTCCAACAGCACGTCAAGTATTAAAAACCATTTGTCTCCATTCACTCCTATCAAACACGCTCACGCATGCCTGCTGGAAGTCCAAGCCCCTCGCACACAAAACCTCCTTTACCCCCTCCCTCCAACCCTTCCTAGGCCGACCCCTACCCCGCCTTCCTTCCACTACAGACTGATACACTCTTGAAGTCATTCTGTTTCGCTCCATTCTCTCTACATGTCCGAACCACCTCAGCAACCCTTCCTCAGCCCTCTGGACAACAGTTTTGGTAATCCCGCACCTCCTCCTAACTTCCAAACTACGAATTCTCTGCATTATATTCACACCACACATTGCCCTCAGACATGACATCTCCACTGCCTCCAGCCTTCTCCTCGCTGCAACATTCATCACCCACGCTTCACACCCATATAAGAGCGTTGGTAAAACTATATTCTCATACATTCCCCTCTTTGCCTCCAAGGACAAAGTTCTTTGTCTCCACAGACTCCTAAGTGCACCACTCACTCTTTTTCCCTCATCAATTCTATGATTCACCTCATCTTTCATAGACCCATCCGCTGACACGTCCACTCCCAAATATCTGAATACGTTCACCTCCTCCATACTCTCTCCCTCCAATCTGATATTCAATCTTTCATCACCTAATCTTTTTGTTATCCTCATAACCTTACTCTTTCCTGTATTCACCTTTAATTTTCTTCTTTTGCACACCCTACCAAATTCATCCACCAATCTCTGCAACTTCTCTTCAGAATCTCCCAAGAGCACAGTGTCATCAGCAAAGAGCAGCTGTGACAACTCCCACTTTTGTGTGTGATTCTTTATCTTTTTAACTCCACGCCTCTTGCCAAGACCCTCGCATTTACTTCTCTTACAACCCCATCTATAAATATATTAAACAACCACGGTGACATCACACATCCTTGTCTAAGGCCTACTTTTACTGGGAAAAAATTTCCTTCTTTCCTACATACTCTAACTTGAGCCTCACTATCCTCGTAAAAACTCTTCACTGCTTTCAGTAACCTACCTCCTACACCATACACTTGCAACATCTGCCACATTGCCCCCCTATCCACCCTGTCATACGCCTTTTCTAAATCCATAAATGCCACAAAGACCTCTTTAGCCTTATCTAAATACTGTTCACTTATATGTTTCACTGTAAACACCTGGTCCACACACCCCCTACCTTTCCTAAAGCCTCCTTGTTCATCTGCTATCCTATTCTCCGTCTTACTCTTAATTCTTTCAATTATAACTCTACCATACACTTTACCAGGTATATATGAGTATATATACGTCAAACACGGTACCTCGTAAGATGTATATATACGGCCACGACAGTCAAAGGGTTAATCATGGTGAATGTGTTTTCTTTAGATCTCACTAACGTGGTGAGAAAAAGATTTTTTGGAAAAAAAAAAGTATGGGTTCTAGGTCTGGTTGTTTACCAGATATAAAAAAATTTATTTAACCCTATGAGGGTCGACAGGCCCTCTGCGAGACTCGTTCTCAGGGTCAGCCAAATTTAACCCTTTCAGGGTCCAAGGCCCAAATCTGGAGTCACGCACCAGTGTCCAAGAATTTTCAAAAAAAAAATTTGTTATTTTTTCTTATGAAATCGTAGAGAATCTTTTTGTGAAGGTAATAAAACAAAAAGTATGAAATTTGGTGGAAAATTGACGAAATTATGCTCTCGCGAATTTTGATGTGTCAGCGATATTTACGAATCGGCGATTTTGCCGACTTTGACTCCCATTTTAGGCCAATTACATTATTCCAATCAACCAAATTCTTAGCTATTTCACTAGTATTACTTCTATTCTATCGATTGAGCACAAGAAAATCGCCAAGTCAACTGTTTCAACTACAAAATAAAGTGATCGGAAATTGTTAATTTGGCCAATTTAACACAAAGTTCAAAATATTCCAATTTCAAAATAGGGTCCAGAATGAACAATGTAGGCATTCCTGGCACTAAACTAACATTTTCTCTGTTCATTAGTTATGTTTTGAGGCTTTACAAATAAATTCCATTTTGATTTTTTATTCACATAATGAATTTTTATTCACACCAAAAAATAGAAGATTTACTGTTATGCAATACTGTAAAATTGTATAAATATCATCACCATAAATTTTTGAATGTATATTAGACCCACCAGCTGACGTATATTAGACGTGTGAGGTCGTTTGTTTACTCTTGAATATCGGCAAAAATTTAACATTTCTGCTACTTTGAGCTGTTTCAAGCCATTTCCAGTGCTAATACCAATCAAAATCATCTCTATTTCTGTAATATGTCTTCCATTCTATCAAATGAGACCAAGAAATCCCAAATACAACTATAAAAAACATACGAAAAAACACTGCAAAGTTGCTGTTTTAATCGAAAAATCATGATTTCATTTTTTTTCTCATTATACACAGTGTGCTGCAGGATCTGTTTTATGTGGTGCACACATACCACATAGATGTATTCTCTCATATCTAGGCCCAAATGTACCACTCACAGTTTATCAGAGTGAGCTGAGCTCATGGCGTAGATCTACGGTTTGGACCCTGAACGTAAAGCCGTAGATCTACGGGACGGACCCTGAAAGGGTTAAAAAAAAAAAACAATTTTTTCTTATGAAAAGATAGAGAATCTTTTCCCGATCATAATGACACCAAAAGTATGAAATTTGATGGAAAACTTACGGAATTATGCTCTTGCGAAGTTAGCGGTCTCGGCGATGTTTACGCATCAGCGATTTTGCCCACTTTGAGCCCCATTTTCGGCCAATTCCACTGTACTAGTCGACAAAAAACATGAATATTTTGCTAGAACTCCATTTTTTCTATCGAATGAGTGCAAGAAACCACCCATTTACCAATTTCAACTA